AAGTTAGAAGTTGAAGGTAGGTCTCACCAAGTCAAAATCAAAGTATTGGTAGGGCTGGATTCTTTTCTGGAGACTCTGGGAATAAGTTCAATTCTCAGCTCTTTTTTATTGGAGGGCTTCATTCATCATTAAAACCAGAAAAGTTGGCTTAATTTCTTCTCACTCTTTGATTCTCTTTGATCTCAACTCTCCTTTCTGTTTCATATTTTTCACTACTTCCTCTTCCTTTGACACTCCAGTCACAGAAATTTCTCTCCTTTTAAGAGCTTGTATGATTAGATTAGGCCCACCAGGATAATCCAGCATAATCTACTGATTAGCATCCATAACCTTAACCATGTCTGTAAAGTTCTTTTGCCTGAGATGTGGATATGGACTTCTTTGAGTGACTAATGTTCTACCTACCACAGGTTTTAAATTATCTCTATGATAATAGATTTTTCTTTTCTCTTTTAAGTGTTTCAATATCCACTTGATTATTGCTGAGGCAATGTTATTAAGTGAAATTGCATTCACAATTGCTACAACTGTCTGGCAGATTGAGCTCTCATCATTGTGAAAAGTTCCTTTTATTCTCTATTTACATATTCAAATTTTTATTTATCTTTCCTTGTTAGTTCTTTAATGCCTTTTTGTAGATATATTTATTTATTTAATGATTTATTTTCCTTTTATTTATTAATTTGTCTCTATTATTATTTATTAATATCTCCATGCCTCTTCTGGTTATCTTCAAGAGAATAATTAGCCCCAAATATCTAGTCTACCTCAATCAGAACCAGAGGATTTATATTCTGTATGACTGGAAGTAATAGAGATTATGTGAATCTAAACCTGCTCAAACAGCCATGTAGTACCACCTCTGGATATAGGGTGACAAGAATCCGAAAGCAATATTACAGAAACATATCGAAGAACGTTAAGTAAGAAAAGAGAGAAGATATGCAATTTCTTTATACATTTTATGTGTTATCTTTTAATTACACATAATAATATATGTTTAAATATCTTGCTGGCGGGAAATTTTATTTTTGCTACTCATGGTCAATAATTCTCACAAATTAGCTATCCACATCATGTTTTTTTCTTTTTCATCACAGAACTGAATAGGCATTATGGTGCCTTTCAGGATCTGACCGGAAGTGTGTTCTTCAGTTTCATGTCCTTCCATTCTGTCCTTTCTTAATTTAAGCTTGTTGTGCAGAACTCCTTATAGCTAATTTAGTGGCAATCCAGAAATCAGGACTACTACTTTAAACAAAAGTTGACAGAAACAGTTCACTAAATAAATTTAAAACACCATCAAGAGACAATAGTACTGATAATAGACATGAAGTGTGCATTTTTGACTAGTATAAGACCACAATATCAATACTGCAATAACACAGCAGTATGAATTTTTACTTAAAACAGTTTTTTTTTAATTTATAGAATATGAATTGCCATTTTTCTAGTTCAAAAATAGTTGAACACTGGCAAATTCCTTGAGTCCAACTTTTCAGTTATATATGAACTATATTTCTCTGAGTTCCTAGACACTTAAAGAAATACAGTTCAGAAGCTTTATATATACAGTTGATCCATGAACAATATGGGTTTGAATGGTATGGGTCCACTTATATGCAGATTTTTTTCAACAGTAAATACTATAGTACTACATAATGCATGCTTCTTTTCTTCCTTTCTCCTTTTCTCTCTTTCTTTCTTTCTTAACTGTATACCATCTACCTGTCAAGAGAAATGCAAGAGAACATTCTTCCAGAAAGTGCCAATAAATTATCTGCAATAAATCACAGCATGTCACAGATGCAAAGTACCTTTAGGGTGATATTCAAGGTGATAGAGAGAACAAATTAATATTGACTAAAAAAATTTCCCTGTCTGTAAAGAGATCATTAAAGACCAGGACAGATATAACCTTTCTATTACCCTGAGATTAATTCTTCACAAGCTTAAGAAAACATGTTTGCCTTGATTTGTCCTTGTTTACTTTCTATTATGTCAAAAGGAATGTTTTGAAATGAGATGCATATGTTATCAAAGACATCACTGCCAGAAAATATTTATCTTCCAGAAATTACTTAAGAATGATCAGCAGCAATTAGACTGTACAACTTGTTCTTCAAACCAGCCAGACTAATTACTTAATGATACAATTGTCCAAAATTAATTGAGAGTCTCCAATTACCCAGAGAGAAAAAAAAAATACTTGCAATATCTTATGTCTGACAAAAAAATAATTTAAACCTTTGTAGGCAATTCACGTGCTGTTCCAGATCTCAGTTTTCCCACGGTGAATAAGGAGAGTGACCAATCAGGACTTTAAGACGCTTTTATAAATCTGTGATGATGACTTTATAACTGTCTTTAGAACTTCAATAAAGTGCAAAATATTTTGACACCAACAGTCTCTTAAACCTCTCATGGCTTTATATTTATTTTTAGGAAAACATTTAGATCATTCTAGTCATAACTACCTTAATTGTATGTTTTGTACTGAAAGGAGAAACAGCATGGAAAATATCTTGCAATCTTTCACAGAGTAGAATACATTTTATTTAATTTTATCTTACAGGTAGCACTGTAGTTGCAGTATATATATATAGTTGCAGTGTGTATATATGTATATATATACCCACATACATATATATATGGGTATATATAAAATTGCAATATATTTGCCCTGATGGAGAGATAAGTATATAGATAAAGATATATAGATAAACTCATTCAAGGCAATTAAACTAAAAATTATTCAAAAAATAGGATGAGAAAAATAGCTAAATTTCATTTTTTCTTATAATTATGCTTTGGTGTTTAAATAAACTTTGTATTCTTTACCAGAAAATTGGTATAAGAGAGTACAAACAAAATCAGTGAAAGAAAATATCAATTACACATGTTCCACAGAATCAGACCATAGAAAATCTGACCTTAGTGTCAGTGGGATAGGATTAACTAAATTGGCTTTGGGAAACACATAAGAGAAAAACATAATTGGGCAGTTTTGTATAGAAATCTTGCCTCTCCAAATAATATTTAAGATAAAATGTTTAATGTTTCTACAAATTGTATCATTCTAATTGCATTTAACCAGATGACATAGGAATTTAGAGTTTGGAGAAACTGAAGATCAATGACTGTGTATAGTTTGGGATGAGTACAGAAATAGGAAATGGAAATGGGTCATGAATTAAACTTTAAAAAATAAATAAAACTTGGAGACTTGCAATGTGTGGAGGATTCCCTTCTAAGTAAATTGAACAGTGTGAGTAAAGCCAAAGAAAAGAGTATATTTGTAAGACATGAGGAAGTTAATCTGAACAGAATGTGTATTGTCAGAGAGAAACTGAATTTAAGAATACATTGACAAAAGATCAGATAATAGAAGGCCTTGAAAGTCAGCTGGTGGAGTAGATGATCTTTATCTTGATAATAATGAGAAATCATACAATTTTTGAATAGGAGAATGACACAATTAAAATAGTATTGGAAAAGTTAGTTATCAGCAAGGTGCTGAAAAAAATTGGAGTAGGGGTAGAAATAGTCAAATTACATAGACTACTTTGAATGCAAATTGAACTTTATAAATTTTGTTTTAGAAAATAAAGACATGTATCCAAGAATAGTTAAACATGGTACAAGACTGGATTTTAAAATTAGGTCTGTTGCCTGAGATCATTTATCTTTCAGTTTATATTCAAATAAAGCTAGCACTCAAACAAAGTAAAAACTCATTCAAAAAGTATAGTTTAGATGCTAAAATAAAATGCTACATAATTATTATGTAACATGGTTAATTACATTAATTAGCATTTTTCTGTTTTAACAGAAATCTGTTAAGTAAAAGGTAGCTCAAAATGGTTGAGCATTGACTGACAAAATAATTTCAAAAATAATGTAGAAGTTATAGGTACAATGCTATTTTAATGCTCAAAGTGTACCAATTTCCTCTTATAAAGTAGATATGTATTTTTAAGATTAAAAAAAAACATCATAGAAGGAATATGATTTGCTAAAGTAGAGGCTATTAAAAATGTGGTTCATTTTTTGTGTCTAAATTATACATAATAGATATCAGAGATACTTTAGAAATATTTTATAATTTAATGGAATGCCCCAAAATTAATATAATAGTCACCATTAAAAAAAAAATAAGATTAAAAGGATTCTTGGCTTATGGATTTTGGCTCAAAAGGAAAACAAAAGTAAACAACAAACAACAACAAAAAGCATGTTCTAGTGGTAAAGAACCTGCTTGCCCATGCAGGAGACATGAGATGTGGATCTGATTCCAGAGTTGGGAAGATACCCTGGAGACAGGCCCGGCAACCCATTCCAGTATTCTTGCCTGGAGAATCCCATGGACATAAGAGGCTGATGGGCTACAGTATACGGTGTCGCAGAAAGTCGGACATGACTGAGATGACTTAGCACAGCACAATAAAATCAGTAATACTACTTTTTAAATATTTTTTTAGATAATTTGATGAGCATTTTTATAATAATTTAGTTTTTATTTATATTTAATTGTTCTAATGTGCGAAAACTTGATTTCAAAATTGAGGAAATAACTTTAAATTAATAAAATCTTAAATATGTGTTTTCTTCTAATACTTAATTACAGCTACCACCTCAAAGATACAAAAGAAAAAATTAGTCTGTCTCGTTTTACAATAAGAATAGCTGCTGATAAACCTTAGCAACCATGTATGCATATAGATTCAGACATTAAATTGCCCAAGATGATACAAATATCAATATTTTGGTCATTATTATAAATAATTATTTTTTTCTGTAGCAAGGTGAATTCCTAAAACCATATTAGAAGTCATTCAGACCTTATTCTTCTAAAGTACTAATTTTGAAATGTTTTCTTGGTATTTCTAAACAGTTTATTATTTTATTATTACAGAGGGATGATTTCAAAATATTTATAATATGCAGTCAGTTACATATATCAATAAAAAGGAAACAGAGAAAGGTGGAGAGGAACTGACCTCATTTACTGTGGCATAGTAGCTTTCATGCTTGAATGTGGGTGAGTTGTCATTTCTGTCTCTCACCACAATTCGAACTTCATGGTAGATAACAGTGCCCACTTTTTTGTTGATGCACTGAACTTGCACCACAATAGAGTGTATATTCATTGGAGGCTGCAACACAGAAATTGCATCTTTTTAAAAAAACAATTGAAACTGAAGTCTGTCATTATTGTCAAAGTACTTATTTAATAAAATCTATACTTATTTACTTTTAAATTATAGTAATCTATAAATATTGATCCACTTTGTACTACTTTATGGATGAGAAGACAATCATGATTACTTCATTGCTCAATTTTTAAAAAATAGAATCTCAGGTAGCATTCTGTTCACAATTAGAGGACTACCAATGAACACAATCACAAAAGTAATGGCTGAGATTTGCTGGGATGCCACAAATTTTGGTCTTTAAAAAAGTCAAAGAAGCAATGATATAAGCTTCTAATTTATAAAATTAATGTATAAATGATAATATACATAGGGTAGAGAGATTGTATAACATTTGCATTTATTTATATTTTTCTAAAATATTAAATGTTCCTATCTGATATAAACCAAAATATAGATAACCAGAAGAGAATCCATTCACAACCCAAATTTATTAAATCTATACAGTTAAAGTTTATTTTGCTAATTTTTTCTTCTCTCCAAAAATAATTTGTCTTAAACACACACACACAGACACACGAGATTATCACCCCATGTTCATGTTTGTAAATATAGATCTACTACAGCAGTTTGATGTATACTACTATGAATCTGCAGTATGTACTCCATTATATAAATCTATAGCTCACTTGGTCTAAGTAAAAACTTATAATGATATGTTTACTGTTGTTAGTTTTTGTCATTTTAAGCAAGATTTCAATAAACATTTCATACATAAATAGGTGCTAATTTGTCTAATTATTTTATGATACAGTTTTACAAAGAGAATTTTCATCAAGGAGGCACTTATTACTCAGGTGCTATGACAAAGGGCTTGCAGGAGTATGATACACACCTGCATTTCTGACTCTAGATATACAAAGTAATGACACAAAATATTTCTTTGTAATTTTTCAAATCTTCGAGTTTATAAAATTATCTTTGCATATAATTTTATCAGTGTGATCTATTCTGACCACCTTGTTTAGAATGCCATGCCTCCAATCTGCTCTTTCCTTTCAACTTCCCCTCTATTTATTTCTTGTTTTTACTGCTTTTTTCATGCACCACATGGCATATTATACGTTTTATATATTCGTTGTACTTTGTCTCCCTTTACTGTATTGGAAGTTTCGTAAAGCTGTGGATGCTATTTTTGTCATGACTTAATCTCTCTACACAGTAACTAGCACTGTGCCTAGAACACGTGGCTGAGCTATCAGAGCTGCACCACTTTGCTTGTAGTCGTGTTCCCATAACCTATGGATTACATGATCTAGATGCAAAGTCTCTCTGTGCTCAGTCTGTTCATCTCTAAAAATGAGGATAACAATAAACACTGATATGATAGAACTATCATAATAATTATTTCAATAAGTATTATATGAACTTATCCTGTGCTAGGAACATAGTAACACATAAAATGCAGACCAGCTTTTACTTATAAAACGCTAAATTTCCCCCCCCCCAAAAAAAAAGAATCTATAAAACACAAACAGATCATCCTGGATTATGAAACAAAATATTAAATATTTGGGTTAAAACCAATTTAAAGATATAGCAGGCTTCCTAGGTGGCACTAGTGGTCAAGAACCATCTTCCAATGCAGGAGAGTTAGAGATGCGAGTTCGATCCCTGGGTCGGGAAGATCCCCTGGAAAAAGGCATGGCAACCCATTCCAGTATTCTTGCCAAGAGAACAATGGAGAGAGGAGCCTGGCGGGCTACAGTCCATAGGATCACAAGAGCTGGACTGACTGAATCAACTTATCATGCATGCACAGAAAGATACAGCAATAATTACCAGAAGCTAGAATTGGTTCATTAAAAATGTCACATTTCTAATGAGAAGAACATTGTAGAAACTATATCTAACCTGAAAAAAAAAAAACATTGTTTAATATCAGGATATTATTATGGCCAATAAAGAGAAAGGCAATTGAATTGTATTGTACCTGGTTGAATAATTACATGTAGAAAGAGCAACTAGAAGCATCATTATCATATGGAGGAAGGTCTCTAATGAAGTGCCACACAGCTTTGGGTTCTAATCTAATGTCTTCTCTAATTCACTGTTTAAAAAGATTTTTGGCTGTACCACACACATATGGGATGTGAATTTCCCAACCAGAGATGGAATACATGCCCCCTGCACTGGAAGTGCAGAATCTAACCTCTGACCACCAGGGAAGTCCCTTCAAATCACTTTAAATCACTAACATATAAAAAGGTATTAAAGTCGTGTGTATAAATATCTGTGAATACCATGAATACCACAAGCCCAGAAGGATATATAACACATTTAATGATACAAAACAAGGTTCAAAATCATTTTAATGAGTCAATAATAAGTTTCAAGCCCCTAAATTTTTGTAATAATTAATTAAAATCACCTTATTTGTATTAGGAAAAAAAAACTTAATTACCCAAATATAATAATAAATATCTACATCATTAATATGAAAATATAAAATTTTGATGAGTAAAAGAAGAGTTTACACGCCAACACTAAATAATACAATGCTGAATAATAATACAAATTACTTCATATGCATTAATAGATGAAGAAATAGGTGAATTACAATAAATACCATTTTAAGGACAAATCGGGTGTGAAGTTAGTTACACTGAGAATGTGTGATAAAATTCAAAATGTCTAAACTAAAGATTACAAGATTAATCAGACATCTGAATGGTTGTTATGAAAAGATCAATTAGTTTATTCATTGTAGTCTCAGTCGGCAGAAATAAAAATAATAAATTAAAAGTATTACAAAGCATATGTTTCCAATGTAAGCAGAGATTTTCTAATAATCCAATGTGGGACAGAAAAGAATGAATTATCCAAAAAGTCAAGCCACATCACTGAAAATCAGCACGCTTGAGGCTAAAACATAATTTAAAAGACTAGATCTGAGAAATTTTCTGGAAAGAATTTGAATTAGATGATCTCCATCTTTACAGTGGAGTATTGGTTTTACAGTGTTTATCATAATAGACTTTAAAAAAAAATCCTGTCTACTTCAATTGTAAAATAAATAACAGAACAAATAGTTGTACTATTAGCCTCTCTGACACACCTCTCGAAGACAATCAGGTGACAATTTATGTTCTGAAGTTATTTATCTTATAAACATTGCAGAAGAGACCTATAAAACCATTCCATATCAGAAAGGTCAAAATCTTTGCAAGTAGAGAATCCAATGTAGTGTGCTGAGCCCCCACTTAGTCCTGCTAAGTGCCCATAAATTAGATATAATCAGGTCACCTGGAACTCTTGTCACTAACAACTTTAGGTCCCTATGCAACTGTTAGTAGCATGGATAGAACTTGGCTTGCAATAAATTCCAACCATAATGGATCATGATGAAGGCAAGAATTCCCTGTGGTTAATATATAACACTCCTTGTGATCTCACATTGGAATAGATTCTATTCTGCTATATAAGATGGTCATAAAAAAATACCAAGTACATTTCCACCAAGCCTATTAGTGAGAATGAAGGGACTCCAACAAACTTAGGAATGTTAGGAAAATTCTGGTTTACTTTTAATAACTGGTGGCAAAAATAAGTCATGGCAATTATATCTTCTCTGATTCTCTTAATTTGCTTCATTCATGAAACGAATCAGAAAAAAATAATGCTGTATATAAATTATTTGAGGGTAATTATTTAGAGTGATTACCATCATATTTCCCTAGACATGCAAACTATTTTTCAAGTTTAAAAACAAATGTTTAGTATGGTGTGAAAGTGAAAGGCACTCAGTCATGTCCTACTCTTTGTGAACCTATGGATTACATAGTTCATGAAATTCTCCAAGCCAGAATACTGGAGTGGGTAGCCATTCCCTTCTCCAGGGGATCTTCCCGAACCAGGGATCGAACCCAGATCTACTTTAAATGTATACTTGCATATCCATATGTTAGCATATATGTGTGAATACATTTTAACACACACAGATAAAATTCAGGAATGATATGTACCAACAGTTGATGAAAATGATCTTTGCAAAGTAAGGTTGAGAGTAAAACATAAAGGAAGAATTTTTCCAATAAATATGTAAGATTTTTTTTTTTAATTTGAAAAACGTTGTACAATCACTTAGTTGCAACATGCAAGGTGAAGCATTTATAAATAATATATTGACGTGAACAGTGTTGATGATAGCATACATATTCAGTCTAAGGAGAACTGAGATTTTTCTGGAAACAATATTTGGATTATTTAATAATTTAAATGGAAAATAAGTATTTAGCCAACTTGAATAGAATAATTTTATTTTTCATTAAACAAAGGCAAAAGTTATTCACTCCTCATTGTAATGAAAGGTTTTTATCATGATTTTTCTTCCTACATACATACTATTTTTACAAAATTAAAAAAATAATTATTTAAAATATTAAACTGGAAGATAGTGAAAAGAAAAAAGATGTAATGAGCTATAGAAATGTTTTTTAAATGATGAAGCAGAACTTGACATAAATGGCTGGCCAGAGTTAAAAGTGTACTTTACAAATTAAACTTTCATAATTAATAGCATATTTAAAGAAGTTGCCTTAAATAAAAAGTACCTACTTGAAAATATTATTAAGCATATATAATATATAGAAGCTTGTAGGTTCTTCACATCAACTATTAAGGACATCACATTTATTTAATTGTACTCATTTATGCAAAGTTCAACATGTGTTAAGATTAATATGACATAGTCCTTGTACCTTAAGCAAATTCTGTGAAACTGATATGAGATAAATATAGATAACTATAATGTGAGTCAAAAAAGAATTTTGAAGGAGTTCCATGACAGTCCAGTAGTTAGGACTCAGTGCTTTTACTGCTGTGATCCAAGTTCAATCCCTAGTCAGGGAACTAAAATCCTGAAAGCCAGATAGTGTGGCCACAAAAAAAAACAAAGAGAGAGAGAGTTTCAAATGCTCTGGAGTATACAATAAGAAATTATATATTGGTGTTACTATTAGGAAATTCTTTTATGTAGAGAGTAGCATTTTGAGACATATCTTGGTAGTAGATAACATTCAACTGATGGTAATAGATAAAGGTCATTTCAAAGCATAGGTTCAAAAAGAGTATCAGGGAAGACATGATAAAAAATTAGATTATGTTGAAAGTGAAAAAGTGAAAGTTTTTCAGTAATGTCCAACTATTTACAACCCCATAGACTATACAGCCCACAGAATTATCCAGGCCAGAATACTGGAGTGGGTAGCCTTTCCCTTCTCCAGGGATCTTCCCAACCCAGGGGTCCAACTCAGGTCTCCCTCATTGCAGGCAGATTCTTTACCAGCTGAGCCACAAGGAAAGACCAAGAATAGTGGAGTGGGTAGCCTATCCCTTCTCCAGTGGATCTTTCTGACTTAGGAAGATTATGTTGAGAGAACAGTAGTTAGTTTAGTTTTCCTGGATTTGAGAATATATGTTTCTAAATAAAAGGAATAGGTTGATAGAATTTAGGAAATCTCAAGGGCCAAATAAAGCAGTTTGCAATGAAAATTCATCTACTGAAAAGGCCAGAACTCTGCTTTGAGACACTAAAACTGGATCAATTTGAATTGTGAAATATAGTAAGGAGAACTACTAGGATATGGTTCCAAAGTCAAATGAGAATTAAGAGGGCTTGGAGTTATGCTGTTGGTAAATGCAGAACATACTATGGAAATAAAAGTAAAAAACAGTAGTTAAATGCATATTGGCTGGGAATAGAAGTCAAAGCTCTTTGTGTACCTACCAACTTTGGATTTAAAAGAAGAGATGTTAAGATGTCTGGATTGTTTCATGCTCTTAGATTGGAAGAATTAATATAGTTAAAATGGCCATAATACCCAAAGCAATCTATAGATTTAATGTGATCTCTATAAAATTACTCAAGACATTTTTCACAGAACAAAAATAAATAATCCTAAAATTAACATGAAACCACTGAAAGACCCAAAGCAATTAATAGGAAAAGGAACAAAGCAGGATTCATAACCCTCACAGACTTCAGACAATACTAAAAAGCTATAGTAATCAAAAAAGCATGGTATTGGCACAAAAACAGACATATGGATCAATGGAACATAATAGAGAGAGCAGAAACAAACCCACACAACTATGGATAATTATCTTTGGAAAAGAAGGGAAGCATATACAATGGGGAGAGGCAGTTTCTTCAGCAAACAATGTTAAGAAAGTTGAACAGGCACAAATAAATAAATGGAATTAGAATACATGCTTACACCATATACAAAAATAAACTTAAAATGGCTTAGACTTAAATATTCTTAAGACAGAACACTATAAAGCTCCTAGAATAGAACACAGGCAAAACATTCTCTGACATAAATCTTACCATTTTTTTTTTTTTTAGGTCAGTCTCCCAAGGCAATAGAAATAAAAGCAAAACCAAATAAATGTGACCTAGTTAAACTTGCAAGCTTCTTTACAGCATGAAAAACCATAAACAAAAGGAAAGAGTCTAAAGAATGGGAGAAAATATTTGTGAATGACGTGACTAATAAGAACTTAATTTCCAAAATATACAAACAGTTCATACAACTCAACAACAAAATACAAGCAACTCAACTAGGAAATGGACAGATGACTTACATAGACATTTCTCCAAAAAGACATCCAGATGGCCAATAGATGCATAAAAGGATGCTTATCATCACTAACTATTAGAGAAAGGCAAATCAAAGCTACAATGAGATACCACCTCACACTGTTCAGAAAGGGCATCATTAAAACGTCTACAAACAACAAACAAAGTGATTCCAAAAAGAAAGTAATTTACCAGTAAACAAGCCAATTATTATAATCATAGATGATTTTAAAAAAGGGAACAAAATACAAAATGACAGTGGCTTAAATTAGACAAATATATTCTATAATTCTACTAACATGCTACATTATAAAATTCATATGATTTGGATATGAGTGTTCCTAATTAAAGCTAGGAAAAGATGCATTGTGGGAATGGGCAAACTAAATAGAGGGGGTCAATTGTATGGTGAAGGATGACACTTAGACTTGTTGTGGCGACCACCCTGTGGTGTAAACAGATGCTGAACTCTGATGCTATACACCTGAAACCAGATATAATATAAAAAAGAAGGGTGTCTGTGAGTAACACAGCTTGGGGAGACTCTTGCAGCTTGCCAATTTGTGCCATTATTCAAATTGTTTTCATAAAAGAAAGACTGAATATAAGATAAGACAAGGCAAGATAAATTCTAGGATAACAGCTGTCCTTATTCCATTTTACACAGTCTTAGCAACCCACGCAAAACTTTGATTTGTGGGGTGCAACGAATGTCGCTATGATTAAAGGACACGATGAGTGAGGGCAATAGTAGAAATGAGAACAGCATCAGAGATGACTTTGCCCCTCCAATTTGAACACAACAGATCCATTCCTATTCTCCCCTTGTCACCTCCTTTCACATCTGCCCCAACTGCTCAGTCACTGAATTACAGGCCTCCCCCACTGTACAAGGGCAGCCCACTCTGGTGGGAGAGCTCTATTACTGCCCACCTCACGACAAAGCTCTTAAAAAGTTTGAATTTAGATGTGAAATAGATTAGGGAGTCATACACTCCATACCATATTTGAAGTGGATCATAAATCCCAAACACTGGAGGGAGATGATTCAGGTTCACTAGGTTGAGGATCTGACATTTGAATTTTATAAAATGGAAATTTGGGAGTAGGCAACGTGATGTACTTCCTGAGTTTTCACAAGGTCTTGGTCAATTACTGCTTGACACACCCATATGCACATATTCACACATGCTTTTCTCTGCACTCAAGACTAGAATGCAAATGAGTGAAAATAAAGTTGCTTTAGAGAGCTACTTAAGTTTACTCAAGTTTTTCAACTTTTTCAGAAAGAAGACATTTAACTTTGGTTATGTAGGTGTTCTTAATATCGAAATACTCAGGTTATGCCAGAGAATGACTGGGTTGGGACATTGCCAGGAAACTTCTGCTCAGTTTCTTTTAATTTTTGTCAGCTTTTTAAGCACATTGCCACTCATCTCTCAACCAACACTTATTACTTGTATGAGTAGCCTCTTGTTAGCAATCCAAATAAACTTTCTGTCCTCAAGCCAACACCTAGCTGTACTCTCAAACTTTGCCATGAATTAGGCTGTGCTTATTCTACTTTTCCAAGGTTACCACCCATTTATTCTGAGCACTATGTTCTCTCCTTATTCAGATATTTGATAAGCTTCCAGGATTTCAGAAGAGACAAACAATGGTTCTCTCAGACACAGATGGTCCTTCTTCCTTTCTTACTCTTCTTTCAAGGAGGTTTTTTTTTTTCTTCCATTTATTTTTATTAGTTGGAGGCTAATTACTTTACAACATTGCAGTGGTTTTTGTCATACATTGAAATGAATTAGCCATGGATTTACATGTATTCCCCATCCCGGTCCCCCCTCCCACCTCCCT